CGCCAGGCACCCCTGTGATGAATCAACAGGGGGCGGCGGATCTAGTGGCCTTCGGCCTACCGCGTCACCGCGCCCCAGGAATCTCCAGCGATCCCGGGAATCCCCGGGAATCCCAGGAAATTCTTGGAAATCGCTGTGAAACTGGTGATCGCGCTCTGCGGCAGGCCAACCCGGGGCATCGCCAACCCGAAAGACGAGAAGAAGCACATGCTCAAATCTTTCAAACCCTCAGGACAATCAATGATTTTGGTCTCATCGGGCCCTCCTGGATGCCCTCTTGGAGGCCTTTTGGGCCATCTTGGAGGCCTCTGCAGGGCTTCTTGGGTCGTCTTGGCTTTCTTGAGGCCCTGTTTGGCAGTCTTAGGAGCATCTTGGGCCGTCTTGGAGGCATCTGGAAGCCATCTTAACTGTCTTGGAGGCCATCTTTGCCGTCGTGGAGGCCCGTTGGGGACCCTCTTGGGGCCTTCTTGGAGGCCTCTTGGGCCGCTCTGGGACCATCTTGGAGGCCTCTTGGGCGATCTTGGGGGCCTCTTGCGCCGTCGTGGGCCGTCGGAAAGCCGAAAAGAAGCAACAGCCAACATCCTTGAAACACCCAATAGGATACAATGATTTTGACTTCTTGTGCCTTCTTGGAGGGCCTCTTGGAGGCCTCTTGAGGGCCTCTTGGGCCGTCTTGGAGGCCATCTTGGGCCATCTCTAGGCCATCTTGGCCATGTTGGAAGACATCATATCGGGCATCTTCGATTCTCTTGGCCATCTTGCAGGCCATCTTGGGCCATCTTCGCAATTTGTTGAGGATGTCCCTAGCGAAACAGCCGTTTGTGGGGCTTTGCAGCCACCTCTGGGCAAGCATCCCTGGACCCCAGCGGGACGGGCCGAAGTCTCAGGGGGAGTTCTTTAGGAAAAAGAGCCAAAACCAAAACCGATAGGGTTCAGCACGCCAGGCACCCTTGCGATAAATCGACAGGGGGCGGCGGATCGAAGACGCCTACGGCGAATCACTGCCGCCCCCTGCCTTTTTGGAAGCGCCTATGTGGCCGAACGTTGAGGCCAGACCTGCCAAGCTATCGGACCATGTGTTCCCCGAATCGGTTTGGAAAGCATTCGGGGAACACGTGGGCATCTTGAAGGTCATCTTGGCCGTCTGGAGGCCATTTTGACCCTTCTGGGCCTTCTTGGAGGACGTCTTGGAGGGCTCTTGGGCCGTCTTGGAGGCCATCTTGAGCGTCTTGGAGTCCTCTTGGGCCGTCTTGGGGGCCTCTTGGCGCCGTGTCTTGGGCCTCCTGGGCGATCGTTGGGGGCACCTGGGCCGTCTCGGGCCGTCGGAAGGCAGAAGAAAAGCAAATGCCACAATCCTTCAAAAACTCATGGGAAATCAATGATCTTGGCCTTTTCGGGCCTTCCTGGAGGCCCTCTTGGAGGCCTCTTGGGCCGTCTTGGTCGGCTCCTGGTCCGTCTGACACCGTCAGAAGCCGTTTGGGGGTGCTCAATGGGCCGACTTGGGGTCTCTTGGAATGCTCCAGGGCCGTCTTGGAGGCCATCTTGAGCGTCTTAAAGGCCTCCTGCGCCGTCTTGGGGGCCTCTTGGGCCGTCTTGGGGCCCTCTTGGGCCGTTCTCTTTGGGGGCTCTTGGGCCGGCTCGGGCCGTCGGAAGGCCGAAAAGAAGCATATTTCAAAATCCGGCAAAAACCTCAGGCAAATCAATGATTTTTGCCTCTTCTGGCCTTCCTGGAGGCCCTCTTGGGGGCCTCTTGGGCCAGCTTCGAGCCAACTTCGGCCATCTTGGTGGGTTCCTGGCACGTCTGACGCCGTCGGGAGCCGTCTTGGGGGCCTTTCTGGGCCGACTTGGGGCCCTCTTGGGGCGCTTCGGGGCCGTCTTGGAGGCCATCTCGGGGCCCTCTTGGGCCGTCTTGGGGCTCTCTTGGGGCCGTCTTGGAGGCCACTTGGGCCCCTCTTGGGGGCCTCTTGGGCGATCTTGGGAGCCTCTTGGGCCGTCTTGGGCCGTCGGAAAGCCGAAGAGGCGCAAATGCCAGAATCCTTCATGCACCCAACTCAAAATCAATGATTTTGGCCTGGTCGGGCCTTCCTGGAGGACCTCTTGGGGGCCTCTTGGGCCGTCTTGGAGGCCTCTTGCGGGCCTTTTGGACCGTCTTAGACCATTTTGAGGCCATCTTGGGCCGTCTTGGGTGCATCTTGGAGCCATCTTAGCCGTCTTTGAGGCCATCTTGGCCATTTTGGAGCAACTTGGAGGCCACCCTGGGACATCTTGGCAGTCTTGGAGGCCATCTTGGGGCAAGAAAGTCGACGACAGGCGGGTCTTCCGGGTGGCCGGCGGGACGGGCCGAAGCCCCAGGGGGAGCTCTTTTGGAAAAAGAGCCAAAACCAAAAGCCATATCGTCTGGCACGCCAGGCACCCCTGTGATAAATCAAAAGGGAGCGGCGGATCGAAGTCGCCTTGGGGCGCTTCGGGGCAGTCTTGGAGGCCATCTTGGGCGTGTTGGAGGCCTCTTGGGCCGTCTTGGGGCCCTCTTGGGGCCGTCTTGCAGGCCACTTTGGCCGTCACGGGGCCCTCTTGGGGGCCTCTTGGGCGATCTTGGGGGCCTCTTGGGCCGTCTTGAGCCGTCGGAATGCCGAGAATGCAAATTCTAGAACCCTTCAAAAACGAAAGGAAATTCCGTGATTTTGGCCTCTTCGGGCCCTCCTGGAGGACCTCATGGAGGCCCCTCTTGGGCCGTCTTGGAGGCTTCTTGGGCGAACTTGGAGGTATCTTGGACGCTCTTGGGCCGTCAGGGAGGCCATCTAGAACCGTGTAGACTCATCTTGGAGGCCATCTTGGCCATCTTGGACGCCATCTTGAGCCGTCTTGGAGGATTTTGTTGTGGACGTTGCGGTCCTGGGTAATCCTCCCGGGACCCGGGCGGGACGGGCCGAAGCGCCAGGGGGAGTTCTTTTTTTGGAAAAAGAGCCAAAACCAAAACCGATAGGATCCAGCACCCCTGCGATGAATCGACAGGGGGCGGCGGATCGAAGACGCCTACGGCGAATCACCGCCGCCCCCTGCTTTTTTGGAAGCGCCGATGTGGCCGAACGTTGAGGCCAGACCTGCCAAGCCATCGGACCATGTGTTCTCCCCGAATCGGTTTGGAGAGCTTTCGGGGAACACGTGGGCATCTTGAAGGTCATCTTGGCCGTCTTGGAGGCCTCTTGGGCGATCTTTCGGCGATCTTTGGGGGCTCTTGGGCCGTCTCGGGCTGTCGGAAGGCCGAAAAGAAGGAAATGTCAAAACCCGTCGAACACTCTAGGACAATCAAGGTTTTTGGCCTTTTCTGGCCTTCCTGGAGGCCCTCTTGGGGGCCTCTTGGGCCGCCTTGGGCCAGCTTCGAGCCAACTTCGGCCATCTTGGTGGGTTCCTGGCACGTCTGACGCCGTCGGGAGCCGTCTTGGGGCCTTTCTGGGCCAACGGGGGACCCTCTTGGGGCGCTTCGGGGCCGTCTTGGAGGCCATCTTGGGCGTCTTGGAGGCCATCTTGGGCGTGTTGGAGGCCTCTTGGGCTGTCTTGGGGCTCTCTTGGGGCCATCTTGGCGGCCACTTGGGCCGTCATGAGGCCCTCTTGAGGGCCTCTTGAGACGATCTTGGGGGCCTCTTTGGCCGTCTTGAGCCGTCGGAAGGCCGAGCAGGCGAAAATGCCATCATCGTTCAAAAACCTAAGGAAAATCACAGATTTTGGACTCTTCGGGCCCTCCTGGAGAACCTCTCGACGGGCTCTGGGGCTGTCCTTGAGGCCTCTGAGGGGCCTCTTGGGCCGCCTTGGGCCATCTTGAGGCTATCTTAGGCCGTCTTGGGTACATCTTGCGCCGTCTTGGAGGCATCTTAGCCATCTTAGCCGTCTTGGAGGCCATCCTGGCCGTCTTGGAGGCATCTTGGAGGCCATCTTGGAGCCGTCTTGGGCAGGAAATTAGGGAATTGAAGTCCTTGGCAATCCTCCCGGGACCCTGGCGGGACGCGCCGGAGCCCCAGGGGGAGTTCTTTTGGAAAAAGAATCAAAACCAAGAGCCATATGGTCTGGCACGCCAGGCACCCCTTTGATAAATCAAAAGGGGGCGGCGGACCTAGTGGCCTTCGGCCCATCCCGCCACCGTCCCTGAGTTGTAGGTCAAGGGTATCCGGGATGTCCGTGAGAATCTCTTGGGAGGCCTCTCCGATGGTTCGTGGAGGCGGTTTGGGGGCCTGAGTTTGGCCTCTTGGGGCCTGAGTTTGCCTCTTGGGGCCTCTGGGGCGCACCTCGGGGGCTTGTTGGGGGATCTTGGGGCGGAGGGCTCAAAATGGCAGTTCGCGTTACCCATCTTGGGCCCCTCTTGGGGCCGTTGGGAGCTCTTGGGCCGTTTGGGGGCGATCCTCGGCGCCTCTTGTGCCGTCTTGGACGCTCTGAAGTCCAAAAATGCGGCAATGCTGAAACCATATAACAACCATTTGATTTGAACGATTCTGGCTTCCAGGGCGGTCCTCCAGGGCCTCCGAGACGGCCCACGAGGCGCTCAAGAGGGCTCCGGGACGATCCCTGGGGCCATCCGACACCATGTTGGACATGCGTGTCCCAAACAGCCCGCCCTTGACATCTCGACAAAAACACGCGGGGAACCCCCAGGAGAAGCCGTGAGCGCCCGCGAGCGCTTGGAATTCTGGGATGTTGGCCCCCGAAAAATCCATTCGCGTAAACCAATATAGAGATCTCAAGTGGATCTGAGGACATTCCATTTCGTGTTCCGAGGGACGGTATCATATGCTTGTCTGTATATAGTTATATTCACAAACACATACATGTATGTCTACATACAGTTATACGTACCAACAGTTATGAACTCATATAGTTATGAAAACAGTATGAACGGCCTCGCGGGGATTATGCCCCGCGCGGAACGAACATCCGTCGCGCATCCACGGGATCCTGCCTCGACGTCGGACCGCGGTGGTATTTACTTGGATCGATTCTTCTCTCGTGAGGACCACGTCTGTCGTCTGGGCGTTCGTCTTCTCGTTCGTCCAGGTATTCATCTTCTGGTGCCTGAACCTCACGGCCATCGAACTGGAACAACCCTTCGGGCGCGACGCCAACGACTTGCAGACGGTTGATATGCAGAAGATTCTGAATCAGCAGCTCTTGCTTCTGTTGGATACCAGGAAATCAGAGCATATATATATGTATATATACATATATATATGTATATATACATATATATATATATGTATATATACATATATATATGTATATATATATATATATAGATATAGATAAGCAGACCGATACTGTCGCCGGTCTCCTCGTTTTCGCCCTCGTCGCCACGGCCGGATTGACCTTGGAATCAAGGCCACAACGCGCCCCAGGCAAGGCTCAGAGGGCAACGGTACCCGCATCTTTTAGCCCCCCCCAGGAACGGGGACCCGCCAGACCTCGAGAAGGGGTTCAAGGACGAAATCGTCGGGGAGGCCCGGCGATGCAGCATGATCAGCAGCATCAGCAGCACCTGTGAGGCAGGCAACCTCGAGCCTTCTTCGCTCCGACGCCCCTCCCTGAGGAGGGACACCACAGTGTCCTACAACAGCCTCAGCAGGAGTTCGGCGTCGGGGACTTGTCCACACCACCGATCTGGGGACGGGCCCCCGAGGACCTCGCGGAGCGCTGGACATGAACATCTCCCGCCCTCGGGGGGGCGGGAAGTCCTCCACATCCACTGCTGATTACCCGAGGCCTTCGGCGGCACGTCCCAGCGACCGGTGAGTCTGGGCAGGCCCGGGGCGCAGAGGAGCCTCAGCGCCGCCAACCTCGAGGGCCTGCTCACGCACAGCTGCGAGGACGACGCAGAGAGCCCGGGCCGCACGAGCCCCAGGAGGTGCGCGGAGGCCCTCGCCGCGGAGGCGGGGCGGGCGTCGGAGGGCGGCGCCCGGGGCTCGCAGGCCGGCGGGGCACATGCCAGAAGCACACGCTGCGGACGCCAGCGGACGGTAAGTTTCCGCTGCCACCTGGGCAGACCTTCAGGGATGCGAGAGTACGTACAGAACCTGGGGTCTTCCGAGCCTCTCTGCCTCTGGGGCAGGGGAATGGGGAGCTGGGCCTGGGGGGGAGTCGATGGGACGGGGGCTCAGGCACTCCACAACACCGTCGTCGGAAGTCCGCGGGTGACAACTTTCCGCCAGTGCCGAGCTGCCGCCGTCATTTTTTCTCGACAGGCTAGCGCGCGACGGCCGACGTCCGTCACACATTTGTCACTTTTGTGTTCTTATACCCACATGTATACATGTGTACATATTTGTATATATGTATCAGCCACTCGCGCAGAGGGGGTGGGGGGAAGGGGGGGGCTTCTCAGAAGCACCCCAGCTTATTAGAAGGCGCGGGCCTTGGTTATAGATGTAAGGCCGGCACCTTCTAAGAAGCAGCCTCCTTCTAAGAAGCCCTCCCCCTCCCTCCACCCCCTTGTGCGCACCGCCAAATATGTGTATACATATATATATATATATATATATATATACACTTTCATGTTTAAGGAGAGCCAGGGGGGAGAGAGAGAGAGAGAGAGATAGAGAGAGGAAGAGAGGGAGAGAGAGAGAGAGAGAGAGAGAGAGCGGGAGACAGAGAGAGAGAGGTATAGAGACGTGTGCCCGCATAGAGGTTCGTGTTTTTGTGTCCCGTTTTGACTCAAGCGTGCCACACGTCGACCATATATTGGCCTCGGCTCCAGGCCGAGAGCACGCAACGAAATGGTGCACCTTCGGCGCCGCACCCAGCGCTCATTGCGCGCTGGCGAGGGGGTTTGCACCAGAGGAGGAGAGTGACAGCCGATATCGCTAACCCTCCCACGTCGCCGGGGCTGGATTCGCCTCGAAGTTCAAAGTCAACAAGCACGCCTGGAGAGGAGAGGTCCGGGGAGCAGCGGTATCGGTACCTCTCTGTTTCTCCGCTTGTGGTGGCATCCTTTCGAGAGCCGCCCGCGTCAGGCCGAGCGCCAGCGCCACCCCGTCGACGTGACGTGCCGCACTGGCAGCCCGCGCGGCCGAGCTCCTGAGCGAGTCGGAGGGCCAGCGGGTACTGTGGAGGCGACGCCGGCTCTCTCGCCTGGCCCCAGGGCCGCTCCGAATCGGTCCCGACCCCTCCTGGGGTGCTTCCAGACCAAGAGCTCACGGGACGCACAGAGACATACTAGTACTATATGTTCTCCTTGGAGGCGCGCGTCCGACCCAAACAGATAGTATACCCATCTTGTAATATATCGTTTCCCGAGCGGTGTGGCCAGAAAACGTCCGCCACGACGCATATACTACAAGATTTCTCGGTGCGCGCATCGCCCCCGGCGAGGCGACGCACATATAGTATAACTATGTTGGGGTGACGCCGAGTTCACGCTCTGGTGGAGCAGACAAGTCGCAACCCTGCTCATCCCAATGCCAGTTCGCCGCACATGCGGGGTCATGTGGGGAGCCACGATCGGCGGCGAGCGAGGGGGGCAGTGAGAAGGAGAAGGCCTTCTCAGAAGGTTCGGAAGCCCCCCGGCCTTCTGAGAAGTTTTCTAAGCCTTCCCCGAAGACAGACATACATTTCTTAGAAGGCGCAAGGGCTTCTGAAAAGTCCCGCCGCCTTATGAAAAGGCCTTCTCCTTCTCATTTTCACCCCTCGCTCGCCGCTTCCCAATGTGCCCGAGGTTTTTTCCAGTCGGACCTGAAAAACGCCACGGGGCCGCCGTGTCCTCGTGCTCAAGACCGCGTTTGCTTCGTCGCTCGCTTGGGCGGGGGTCCTCCTGCGGTCCTCCAGGGTCCTGGGGCCCCTGAGTTTTTTATTGCGAAGGCCTCACGACCGGTGCCGCCGACCCCGAAGGCGGACGACGACGAAAACAGCGACGATGAAAGTATTCAAACACTGGAGGGATGGGAGGGAGGAGGAGAGGGGGACGGAGGAGGTCAAGGGAAGGGGAAAAGGAGGGAGTAGGGAAGATAATCAGGAGGATTAGGGATGAGGAGCTGGGTGGCGGAGGAGTCGCCATGGATTCGCCATCTACTAGGATGGGGGTGGTTTGTCGCCACAAAGACAACGGGCAGCACGGCAACCACTTTACTGTGTATACACCGTCGGGCTGCCGACGACGCCGACGTGGGTCAGAGTCCTCAGGGATGCTTCTTGGGGTCTGGTCGAAACGCTTTTGGGGGGCTTCAGGGGTCACTGTAGGAATGGGGTCTCTTGGTAGCATATTCGGGGCCTCTTGGGGTTTCCAGGGACCTCTCGGGAGCATCTTGGGGTCTCTGCGGGGCTTCTTGGGGTCCTTCTGGGGGCCTCTTGGCTTCTCCTGGGAACACTCGGGGCGGAGGGCTCGAAATGTCCGTTTTGGTCCGTCGTATCGGCACCGTTTTGGAACCGTCTTGGTAGCCCTTGGGTTTTGGAGGCGTCTCGGGACTCTGTTGGGCCGTTTTGGGTCGCTCGTGGAGCTCTACGGGGCTGTCTCGGGGCGATTTGGGAGGCCGCTTCGGGGCGTCGGGAAGCGGGAGAGGCGAGAACGCCGAAATCATAAGACAACAATTATTGATCTTTTACGGTTCCCGTCCTTGAAGCTTGGGACTGCTCCCGGTGGCCTCTTTCAGCGTCTGCATGATTTTTGGGCCGGTTGGAGGCCGTCCAGGCGTCTTGGACAGACCGCTCGGCAAGTCGGAGCTTTCGTGGACTGTTTTTGGGAGCCTTTGGGGGGTCCAGCAATTTTTATTTCCTAAGTGGCTTGTTTCCCACTTCCACTACCACCACCACAATAAGTTTGAGGGGGAGGGGGTCCTCCTCTTCCTCTTCCTCCTCCTCCTCGTCCTCCTCCTCCTCCTCCTCCTCCTCCTCCTCCTCGTCCTCCTCCTTCCCCACTCCAACTTATGTTGGTGGTGGTGGAACACAGGCCCATCATTTCCAGAATATTTCCAGGCGTGAGCCCCTACCGACGCTGCTTCAGAAGCTTAGCTGCAGCTCACTCCGGGGTCTTGGTAGCCTTCCCGGGAGGCGAAGGAGGAGCAGCCGGAGACGTCCGAGAGCCTCGGTTCTCGACCCTCGACCCCTGCCTCTTCGTCGCCCCCTTGCCTCTCACGCCTCCTTCGGCGGCGAGTGAGGGGGGGGGGGGAGTGAGGAGAGGCGGGCCTTCTCAGAAGGCTTGGAAGTCTCTCGGCTCTCTAAGGTGTTTTCTGAGCCTTTGCCGAAGACGCAGACGACCCTTCAGAAGGCTGGAGGGCTTCTGAGAATTGCCACCGCCTTCTGACCAGTCCTTTTCCTTCTCGCTGCCCCCTTTCGCTCGCCGCCGACTCCCAGCTCAGACCTCGCCAGGCCTCCGCGCAATGTTCTTGTCAATGCGGCGCCCCCTGATGTCCCGACACCTCCGGGGCGCAAGACTTTCCGTTTGCGTCGTGTGGAAGCATCCTTGGGCCTCCAACCAGGCCGAGGTTGAAGGAGCATCTTGGTATGGAATAACAATGAACATATGTGTTTCTTACGACCTGGACCATAACGCGCGTTGTGCCCCCTACTCTTCCCCTTCCCTTCCCTCTCCCAAAAGGTAGCGCCCCCCCCCCCTAGTGCGACCTCGGCACTGCCGCAGTGCGTCTGACACCACAGTTTAGCCGGGGGCGCTACGTTATGCCCCTTCCCGTCCCCCCCTTTGCCCCCCATGGTGCCTGCTATATGCAGCGAATAACAAATGCGTTTCGCGGTGCCTGAGGTACGGGCGCCTCCCTCGAGCAACGACCCTGAGGCTGCCCCGGGATGTTTTCTGGCCAGCCTTGCAAGGAGAACCCAAGCCGTGGCGACGAAGGGGGCGACGAAAATGACGGCAACACGGCCACGGCGACGACGACGACCGCGGCTGGACTTTTTTGACGGTTTCCGTATCCCTGCCAGCCCGTCCAAGCAAAAGCATTGGGTGAGGTCCTGTGATCAGGGAAGTGTCGCAGAATGCAGTTTAACAAAAGGTGGACAGTTGTTGCCACGACGACGACGACGACGACGTCGGCACGAGTCAACCATCAAGGCCTTCGCGGGTCTTGCGTTCTTGGAGTTCTTTGTGAAGCATTATTGAGGCCATTATTGGATGCCTGTTGACCCCTTTTGGGGCAATTTGACAGGCTTTCGGCGCTTTGTTGGGTCCATCTTGGGGCCTCCCTGGAGGCCTTGAGAGCCCTCTCGAGGCCATATTGAACGCCATGGACTGAGGAATAGGGTGGAGCCACTTACGGCCGTAGGACGCCGAAACAAGTTGTCGATTGGAGCCCTCTTGAGGCGCCCTTAGGACCGTCTTGAGGCTGTCTTATATTTGAGGCCTCGAAGGGGGAGGAAGAGGAAGAGGTTGAAGAGCTACGTAGTTAAACGACGTGGATTTCAGATGCAAAGATCCTGGTGCTGTTTTTCAGCCCTCCTGGAAGATCATGTGCGGGCAGGTGTTGGAGTACGGCGGCTGGGTGGAACGGCCGCGGTGCAGGGGTCGGGGGAGCAACAAAAAGCGGCGCGGCGGTGCGAGGGCTTCTCTGTGCCCCCGCAGGCTGCGCCCTTCGCTCTCCCCTTGCGGCAGGGATCGAGCAGACGACCTGCCCACCCCTGCCAACGACGACGGGGAAGGCCTTTGTGGGTCGTTTGCTTTGGGAGCTCCATTCGAAGCCTTCTTGAGGCTATGTTGGATGTCTGATGCGCTCTGCTGGGGCAATATTGAAGGCCTGCTGGGCTTTCTTGGGGCCCCCTGAAGGCCTTGGGAGCCCTCTGCAGGCCATCTTGGAGGCCTTTGGCTGTAAGAAATGGGGCGGAGCCAATTACGGCCACAGGAAGCCGAAAAGTCGTCTCTCCACGCTTTCGAGGGGCGCCGACGACGGCGACGACGGCGGCGGCGACGGACTCCCCCGCGCTTGCAGTGGGCGCCTGTGCATGTGTGCTTTTCCAACCAGTCAGTGCTGTTTTGCCCGCCTGCCAGGAACTTCGCCCAGAGGAGCCTGGGAGCCTCGGGCGCTGTGAGCCCGGCGAGCACCGCTGCCGGAGCCGCGGCGGCGGCCTGGCGGCGGACGCCGTGGAGGCGAACGCCGCCCTGGAGGCGGGGCCTCCGCAGCGGGCGCCCGGCGGGTCTGGAGAGGCGCCGCCCTCGGCCTCCTCTCGACCACGCGCCGCAGGAGGGGGGGGGGGCAAGGGGGGAGGGGAGGGTGATGGGCCTGTTTTCCACCACCACCATCACAAGTTGGGGGGGAAGGAGGTGGAGGGTGAGGAGGAGGAGGAGGAGGAGGAGGAGGAGGAGGAGGAGGAGGAGGAGGAGGACCCCCTCCCCCTCCAACTTATGGTGGTGGTGGTGCTCGGCCCCTGCAGAGCCAGAAGGGGGATCGGGCCGCACAGGGGCGGATCGGATCGACATCGGAATCGAATCCAGACACCTGAGGTCATTTCCAGACATCGGGCGTCTCGAAAAAATCGAGACGAAGGTTTTTCGCAGTTTTTGGCCTCTCGGGGCCCTCGCCGGGCCTCGGGACCGTCAAAAAATGACTCGGGATGAAAAACCGGTCCTGGGGAAGTGGTCGGGAAGTCGCCGAGTGGCCCACGGCGGTTGCGATGTTAGTTCTGCGGATGCAAATGCGGATGCGCGGATGTATCCCAGTTCTGAAAGTATTGTAACCCAGTTCAGAACCATGCTTTTGCATCCAAGGTTCGTTGGGTTGCGCAACCGCAGTTATCTGGTTTAGGTGCGAGCCAAAGTGGCACGGAAGAGGGAGGAGAAGGAGAAGGATGACGAGGAGGATGAGATTGGAAAGGGTGAGTAACATTCCCAGCGGATCCTTGAACAGCTTTCTTGGACTCCCAAATCGTTTTTGACCCTGGGGCCCGCCATCGGATGATGGAGAATTTCGCAATGAAACCCGAAACCTTCGCAGGGAAACATGGGAACATATCCCCCTTCGCTACCTCCTCCTCCTCCTTCTCCTCCCTCTCACCGCCCCCGTCGTAATCATCGTCATCAGCATCATCATCATCATTATCATCATGATTCTCGAACTCCGTCTTGTCCTTCTCCTCCTCCGTCCTCTCCCCCTTTATCCCGCCCACTCCTCACCATCTCCTCCCTCTTCCACCTAGGTTTCCTCCTTCTTCATTCCTCATTTCTCCTTCCACCTTCCTCCTGCCTCCTCCCTCCTCCTCCTCCTCCTCCTCCTCCTCCTCCCCATCCGCCTCCGTAGAGCGCCAAACTCACCTCAAGTGTGGCGGCACGAGAACTGAAACTAAGTCTGAATCACCTGTTAAAAAGGTTACCGCAGCAATCAAACCGCTGACAGGCACCAGCTGTGGATCATCCACGCGACGATGGCATGACACTTCTTCGCTGGAGCAGCTAGGCGTAGGCACATAAGGCCAAACGCTCACGCAAGACACGGTCTGTCCATCGATTTCGGCGTGGTACCAAACTTCAACCAACCGAACGCGGCCGCGAATCATGCAGTGAGCAATGTCTCCCGCATGAACAGCGCTACCCTTGCACCCTTTGGCCACTGATGCGACGAGAATGCGTTCCGCACCAGGGTGCGCTGACTGCAATGCCTGCTTGAGGGCACCTTTTGGCGGGTGAGCCTGCAAGAGGCCATGCTTACACCAATGCGACTGCATCTGGTGAAGGTGTTCCAAGGTAACTTCCTCAATGAGCCCTCGCTCGAACGACGTGCACGAGTATCTGTCCTTCGTCCAACGCTTCACTAACTTGTGCCGCCGTTCCTGCGTCAAAAGACCAAGAAGGGTCTGAAACCGCCGCAGTTCCATGTACAGGTGAAGAGATAACTGGTGCTTGGGTATCCACCCGGCTTCTCCATAAGCCCGCATGAACGACGCTAAGTGGACTAGTACGCGCCGTTTGAGACAATATGGTTCGACAGTCCCGTCTTTCACTTGGGTGCACAGGTCGAGCACGCTTGCGAGCTTCAAGAAACTATCGACCTGATCATCCATGACACCTGGCCGAACATATGTTTTCAACACACAGCAATAACCCCGTACATGTGCATGGCTTGGTTCGCGTCGCACTTGAAGTGGTCACCTTGCAGGTCAACTCTGGATGGGCTGAGTGCCTCAACGGGGGAAGCCATTCTCTTAGGCCGCGTCCATCGGGCCATGAAGTTGTACAGTCCGGATACAGAAATGCCCTTGGCCGGCATAAATATCAAACGGAATTGCAGTTCGGTGTTGAACAAACTTGAAACAAGGTAAATATGAACCCAATCGTGCATCATGCTCGTGCTGCCAACACGAAGGCAGCTGTCAAGAAGAATGTTGTTGGGGTCGTGATTGAAACCGTAAAGGCAACACGTCGACTCAAACCTCGCCTTCGTTATGTTTCCTGCAACCCATTCCCCATGCAAGCGCGCTAACTCGATCAGCACTGTTCGCGCTGAGACATCAGTATGCTGCTTCATGCGGCTCAGGTCCAACGACGTGCTGGGGGCGTAACCAGCGCTTCTCTCGGTTTGCCAAGCGTGGGTGACTACGTTGGTGCACGCTGGGCATATCCTGAACCCAGATGCACCTTTTGCACAAAATATCCACTCACCCATCAGGGCGCAGGCGCGTCAGCGAGCAGGCCCGCCCGCCCGCTCGACCCGCCCGTATTTGCGAAAACTCCCCCTCTTCCATGCGGACGCTGCCGCTGGAGCGTTCGGTGGAGCTCCCAATGGGGCAACGAAACGCATGAGGTGCGCCGAAATGCGTGGCAGTCGCGCGTGCGGACGCTGCCGCTGGAGCCTTCGGTAGAGCTTCCTGTAAAGCCAAGAAACGCGTGGTGTGGTGTGCCGAAATGGCTGGCAGTCGCGCGCGCGGACGCTGCCACTGGAGCCTTCGGTGGAGCTCCCTATACAGCCACGAAACGCGTGAGGGGTGTGCCGAAGTGTGCGGGACGCATGCGGGCGGCAGCACTGGGACCTTCGGCGGAGCTCCCTGTGGGGCCACGAAACGTGCAGGCGGCAGCACTGGGGCCTTCGGTGGAGCTCCCTATGGGGCCACGGAACATGTGAGGGGTGCGCCGAAATGGCTGGCAGTCGCGCGGGCGGACGTTGCCACTTGAGCCTTCGGTGGGGCCCCCTGTACAGCCACGAAACGTGTGAGGGGTGTGCCGAAGTGTGCGGGGCGCATGCGGGCGGCAGCACTGGGACCTTCGGCGGGGCTCCCTGTGGGGCCACGAAACGTGCGGGCGGCAACACTGGGGCCTTCGGTGGAGCTCCCTATGGGGCCACGAAGCGTGTGAAGGGTGTGCCGAAATTGGCGTGGGGGACGCATGCGGGCGGCAGCACTGGGACCTTCGGTGGGGCTCCCTATGGGGCCACGAAACGTGTGAGGAGTGTGTCGAAATCGGTGTGGGGGGCGCACGCGGGCGGCAGCGCTGGGGCCTTTGGTGGGGATCCCTGTGGGGCCACGAAACGTGTGAGGGGTGGGCTGAAATGTGTGCGGGGGGCGCATGCGGGCGGCAGCGCTGGGGCCTTCGGTGGAGCTCCCTGTGGGGCCACGAAACGTGTGAGGGGTATGCCGACATGGGTGTGGGAGACGCATGCGGGCGGCAGCACTGGGGCCTTCGGCGGGGCTCCCTATGGGTCCACGAAGCGTGTGAGGGGTGTGCCGAAATGAGTGCGGGGGACGCATGCGGGCGGCAGCACTGGGACCTTCGGTGGAGCTCCCTGTGGGGCCATGAAACGTGTGAAGGGGTGTGCCGAAATGAGTGTGGGTTACGCATGCGGGCGGCAGCGCTGCGGCCTTCGGTGGAGCTCCCTATGGGGCCGCGAAGCGTGTGAGGGGTGTGCCGAAATGAGCGCGGGGGGCGCATGCGGGCGGCCGCGCTGGGACCTTCGGTGGAACTCCCTATGGGGCCACGAGACGTGTGAGGGGTGTGCCGAAATGAGTGTGGGGGGCGCATGCGGGCGGCAGCACTGGGGCCTTCGGTGGAGCTCCCTGTGGGGCCACGAAACGTGTGAGGGGTGTGCCGAAGTGAGCGTGGGGGACGCATGCGGGCGGCAGCACTGGGGCCTTCGGTGGAGCTCCCTGTGGGGCCACGAAACGTGCGAGGGGTATGCCGACATGGGCGTGGGTGACGCATGCGGGCGGCAGCACTGGGGCCTTCGGTGCAGCTCACCATGGGGTCCCGAAACGCGTGAGGAGTGATGGTGGTGATGACAGCGATGATGGTGATGATGATGATGAGGATGGCGATGATAGTGTTGATGATGATCATGCGGATTATGACGATGATGGTGATGACGGTGATGATGACGACGATGATGGTGATGACGATTATGATGGTGGGAGGATGGAGATGGAGGGGGAGGAGGAGGAGAGGAGGAGGAATGACGCGGGGCGCTTCCTCTTCAAAACGAGGACCCAACACCACAGGATGGTTGGGAAACGCGGTCACACCTGACTTCGTTCTGCCACGCATCTAGGGAAGAGTCCTGAGGTGATTCAGACTTCGTGAGACACGTTGGCCTTCTCTCTGTGCAGAGCGGATGGGGCTTCAATTATCAGTGGGAAATCTTCTTTGGTGCTTTCGACTGGGATGTGGGTGCTTGCGGGCCCCAAGGGAACGCGCTGTTGCATTGCGTTGCGTTGCGTTGCGTCTATCGCTTCCCCCTACCCCCCCTCCCCCCCCCCCCACTCCCCCCACGCGCGCGCGCACGCGCACGCAGGAATGCTTGTGCCACAGCTCGAGAAATTCTGCCGCGCCAGCAACGACAGTGGCGTAAATTCAACGGTCCACTAGCGGATTGTGTTCGGCCGCTCGGATTTGCGCGCGTTTTAGTAGCGGAGAAAGTTCGGTGGGTTCCAGTCGACAAATAACGAATGAGAAAACCTCTCCGAATCTCCAGTGGTTGGGTTGCCCGATAAAAAAAACGATGCGTCTCTGTCTTGAGGGATCTTTTTTCTGTGTCGGGGTCGTGGCGCGCGGGGCGCCGCCGTGTCAGATCGGTGCGAATGAGAGAAGTTCTGCCCCGTCGTCGAGGGCA